GAGGGTTGCGGGCCGCGCCGCAACTTGCGTTGCGCTGCCTTCATCCTCTGTGAGAGGTGCCTAGGAGGGGCCGGTTCCATCGAACGTTATGCATTTTGGGCGCGACTCTGGGGGATTTTAAGACAAAAAATGTATTTGTTCTCGTGAACTGATTCAATGGGATAAGAGGAGGGCATCCACGCTTTCCAGAGTATGAAGGTTTGACACGCGCGTAAGCGCCTTGTCCTTGATTCAGTCACAGTGATTCCCTAGGTATCGGAACGAACAAAGATAGCTTCTGCGTGGTCGGAAAAAACAATCGGAGGAAGACTTCTAGCCGACAAATTGTCACCGACAATGAGACATCCATTCTGTCACCGTATCATAACTTTTCACCAAAACCGTTGTCGGTTCGGAGTGTCTAGTTGTAGAATACGAGTGAGAATCACATCTCCTCAACACTCTGTGTGGTTTGGCTGTAGTATCGTACCACTGGTATGTCGCGAAACTTACTGTTATGTTAATCACCTTGTACACTACAAGAATTCATTGTGACCGCGGACTACGCTACGACTAGTTTGGTCAGGTTAAGTATCTTGATCGTCGCGTCCAGTCAGTATGCACGAATCATGGATTCATTACCTCCATTATCTTCTAAGAGTGTCGTGGCGCCAGCCATCGGACATACAAACAGCAGACACATGCCGGTGGGCCTGGGTGGCGCCCAGTGGGCGCTTAAACCTGTATTGTTTATGTATATTCGCTTACATAGCCAGTTGTTTCATCAGAGTAGAGTGGCTCGTAACTGTTACTCAATAGAGTGGTTCATCCTTCCTCCCCTCAGTCACTGAGACTCAGTGGGAACGCTGGGAAGGTTGCTTCCCGTTTGTTCTAGTCTTAACTGCTTCATGTAATCAGGTTAAGAATGACATGGGCGAGTTGTATTATACTTAAGATATAGGTATCGATGATTCTATGCAGGGGGGCTCTGGTTTTACCCAGGGAATTCAGTCCCTCCCTCCCCAGATGGCTTTCAATATGCATCTACTGGGTTACCACATCCTTTAGAGGTAACTGGAAGTTCCAGTAAAGTCAATGTCATCGGGCGGGGTATCTATGTCATAACTCTAAGATATGACTCAGTAATACAAAGTTAGTGCAATCAATTCGATTAGCCGGGGCAGCTATGCCATAACTCTAAGATATGACTCAGTAGTACAAAGTTAGTGCAATCAATTCGATTAGCCGGGGCAGCTATGCCATAACTCTAAGATATGACTCAGTAGTACAAAGTTAGTGCAATCAATTCCATTAGCCGGAGCAGCTATGCCATAACTCTAAGATATGACTCAGTAATACAAAGTTAGTGCAATCAATTCGATTAGCCGGGGCAGCTATGCCATAGCTCTGAGATATGACTCAGTAATACAAAGTTAGTGCAATCAATTCGATTAGCCGGGGCAGCTATGCCATAGCATAAAGACATGCCGTTGAGCAAAAAATTGTGCGGGAACACGCGATAGGTCGTTTACAAGACCAGATTAGTTCCACTCCCGGGTTGGATCTCCCACATCGGCAACACGAAACTTATTCTCATCTGGAAAAGGGCTATCAATATTTAAGAACGAATAAATTCAATAACAAAGAATCCATGCGACCAAATATGCTCATACAACTATTGAGCGCGCTATAACTAAGCCTGGTGAACGAACTCGATGGAGGGAAGTAAAGTTCGGTATGGAATAAAGGGTGTAGCAATAGTGGCTGGGACAGATACTTTCCGAAGGTCACTTTCACACCACGAGTGCTATTGTGGAGGCTGCAATTGGATGATCTTGTCTACGAAAGTTCTATTGGTGTAGCGATGGCCATACTTGGCCGTCCACATATCGAAGCTCATCCTCTCGAGGATATGCCACGTTAAGATGGAACCGTTCACAGTAGTCATCGTATTAGGAAATGCTAAGGTTATCTTATACTCCGTCGAGCCTTTGCTAGAGTATATCACGGTCGCATCGAAACCAATGTCGAAATGAGGGTTGAGCCACGCCTTACCCACAGCATTGAAAGGTAGTCCGGGCCAGGGGGTTCTTTTACCGAACGAGTAGATTGCAACTTCACCAGAAATCTTGAACTCAGCTGAGTAGCTCTTAGTCTTCGGGTCATACTTCCCTGGACCGCCTCCTGATGTGCAGATCTTAGCACCGGCTTCCACTAGATGTGGTTTGAGCTGCGGCAACAGATCAACCACGTAAGGAACCGCACAACCACCAGTTCGAAGTTCGAGGGATTCCGGGATGCCTTTATTAATGGTAGCATTAAGCCCGAATAGAACAGTTTTGGTGGGATCGAACGCATCGAAGAAGTAAGTATCGAAATTGACGACCCATTTTAGTCCGAGATCGAGTTCTCCAGTAGCACAGAAGGGCATGTCCTTCGGCTTGGCATCCTTCGAACAGTTCGGAGGGAAGGAGAAGTGGGAAGGGCCAGCAAGTATGCGCTGCGGCCTACTTTTACCAGGTTGTGCCTGAATAACCTCAGCCTCGACTTTTGCGATAACGAGGAGTAGAAGATAGATCAAATTCATCGTGGGATAAACTAGGAGCACGAACTACGAAGTTTGTTCTACAAACTACACATGAGCGCACGGCATGAAAGCCAGTAGGGGAGTGCGCAGGGTCGTCAATACTTGTACAGCGTGCATAGATTGTTAAGCTTTGTTATGTACATACGTACGAAAAGCGTATGTGCGTGAATCGTTCAGTATGATGGTCATACTTTGTAGGGCTTCTTCCTTCCGAATACCTATGCTCTTTCAGTGTGTATTCTTGTGCTCAAAATGGATAGTTTTCGTAATTGGAACATTCGAGTCCGGCAACTCGCCAGTAACAGAGTAATCAGTAATATCACTTTTAGGAAGCAATACAGATATGACCTAGCTTGACGCTGTGTTCTGCTGCTCCTTAATCCCATAGACTTTGGTAGTCACAGCAACGAGCCAGGCGAAACTTTTGTGGCTCATCAATGCACGTGATGTTAGGATTAGCGGAGCGAAGCCTAATGAACTATACCTTATGGGAATACCCTTTTCGTCGGATTTTCCTCCCAAACAGCCGTAATGCCGTTCGCTTCGACCTGCCATACTGGGGAAGCTATATTCAGCATCCCGTAAGAGACCCTTACTTTAAGCTCCGGTTCCAAACATGATGCCTGTCAAGCCTGAGCTCTACAACAAGTCGTTTTCCAGCTGAAATCGGCACACGTCCGCGCCTAAGCGGTGCCAGCTCACCTACAGCCTCGTCAAAGGACTCTTTCTCTCCCTCTTGCAAAATGATCTGCTTACGAGTCTGGTATAAACAGTTTGTCAGATGAATCTACTACTCGCTCACCTTCGCATCTTCCACCCATTCAGCCCTCCTCTAGCTTCCCGTTTGTGCGTTGGAGTGCAACGCGCAGTTGAGTGTCTATCCGTTGGACCATATCACCGTACCACAATCAATCGCGCGCGCCCAATCAATCGATATTCCAATTTCACGCATCAGTTGGAACTCCGAAGTAGATGAGCTTCGTTACGAGCGCGAATCGAGGCTTTGTGTGTTTATTGTTCTAAGCTAATGGACAGTAGAGGCTGAAGAGTTTGAAGTTTGGCTGTTGTGTTAGGTTTGATAATTTCCGGGTTCTTCTTACCAAACCTTCGTGGGAGTTCTGGGGTCAGCTGGCCTGATGCGACGAATGACCCTATGAGACTTTCTCCTTACATCGTGGCTCGGGTAAGTTCTTGGTTCCAAAGCTAGAAATTAATCTGATAAAGCGCCATTGCAAAATCGATCGCACTCAGGTGCGTGCATCATCCACAGTGTGGAGCCCAGTTGCTTCAGCTGGAGATATTGATTGTGCCGAGACATGTTGTGGTGGCCTAATCCGACCACAGTAGAGGATCGTGAATGTTCCACTCGTCATATTAGAGGTCGTTCCGAGGAGGACTGGGAACTGCGCAGTTCTTCAGTGTGCCTTCTTCTTCATTCAAGCAGGAGGGCTTAGCGGAGATGAATATCTGAACCGGATGAAACTCCCGTGATTAGTGACGCTTTGGTCGATGCGTTAATCTGTGCATAATAATGTATATAGTCTACATAGCCTGAACTCCACACATCTATGAACTCCCCTATATCTCAACGCATAGTAGTCAGAAACCCAAAATTTTGTGGCGCGTGTTTTTTGACTTCCAACAGTTCGATAACGTGGTATAATGACAAAAAGAAAGGGAGAACAGCAAAACGTGATAGTGGGAAGCCGTGTAGTCGTCG